ATTTGGTCAGTATTTGTGTTTTTCCAGGTAGATTAGACAAAACATATAGGAAATAATTTTTAAGTTTTGATTTTAATGTTTTATGGTCAAAAATCATAAATTTTTAGAAAAACTATGTATGTAACAGTACTTTTTTTCTATTTCTAACAATCATAATTTTTGACTTATGGACCTAAAACTTGGTCAAAATTTATATTTCTTCTTGTAGAATGCAAAAAAAAAACAAAACGAGACATTTTGAGTTTGATTTTAATATTTTTGTGTTTTAAAAAATAGAAAATGTTTATTCTCGCTTCGTTTTTAGGGTTAAAAATTTTTGACCTAAAGAACTAATGTTTGGTCAATATTCGTATTTTTTCATGTCGATTAGAGAAAAAATATACAGAATCATTGTTTATTATTCTTAATTTTTAATTATAATAGTTTTCTTTATCCAAAAACGGACAATTTATGAATAACGAACATTAATTTTTTGTACTATTTCTAGCGACTATAATATTTTACTTGAAAAACTGAAATATTTCTTAAGCTAAAACTTAAATCTGATTGAAATTAGGAAAACTGGACAAGTCCTTGATAAAATCCTATTTCAAGTAGAAAAAAAAAGTTTCCTCTTTTCTAATTTAAATTGCCCTACTTTTTTCTACTGAATCCCTTCAACATTCATAATAGCCCAGACAGTTTCTTCTACCCTCTGCGATATAAAAACCTCTTCTTTAAAACAGAAAAATCGAAGCAATTTTATCAAAAAGAAATCTTTTCATTTTTTCTTTTTTTTTGTAGAAATAGAAGAGAATTTTTCTAAAAATTCAATTTTATCATGAAAAATTGCCTGGGAAATTGAATTTTCTTTTCGTTTAAATATATTTGTAAAATCCGTTGACTTTTGGACTTTAAGACAGGAAGGAAGTAGGTCTGTGTGAGTTTAACTGTAGGTATGTCTGGTGTGTTCCCCTTCACAGGAGTTTGAGTGGTATGTAAAGCATTTTCCTGCTCAAAGGAAAATATGGGAAAACATGGTTCGCATAAATCCACATTTTTCTGTAATCTAAACGAAAAAATTCGAATGTTTATTCATTTATTTATTTCTTAAAATTCAATTCCCATAAAGAATTTTATCAACAAATTTTTAAATCATTCAATTATTTCGACGAATTTTAATAAAATTTTTAAGAATAATTACATTTTTCGAGAAATTTGAAAATTATTATTTATTATTCATGAAAATAATTGAATTATTGCGAAGAATTTTATTATTTACGAAAATAATTGAAAACATGTAAAAATTTTATTATTTATGAAAACAATTGAATAATTGGGAAAAAATGTATAGAAAATTTGTAAATAATTGAATTCCTGAGAAATTTTTATTATTCATGAAAATAATTGAATTCTTACAAAGATTTTAACAAAAAAATTTTTAAATAATTGAATTCTGTTTGGAAATTTTATGAAAATAGTAGATACTGAAAATCATTGAATTGAGAAAAGTTTTTAAAAATAATAATTCAATTTTACAAAGAATTCTATTAAAATTTTTGACAATAATTCAATGTCTGTGTGGTATTTTATTATAAAATCCTTTGAAAATAATTGAATTCGTAAAAAAGCATTTTATTATTTATGAAAATAATTGAATTCTTGCGAACGATTTTATTAGAATTTTTTAAAATAGGTAATTGAATTGCAAGAAGAAATTTATTACTTTTAAAAATAATTGAATTCTTGTGAAAAATTCTAATACTTTTGTAAATAATTGAATTCTTTCAAAGAATTAAAAAAACATTTTTTTAAAATAATTGATTTTTTCAAGGAATTGAAATTAATTTTTAAGAATAATTACATTTTTTTAAGCAATTCCTGTAAAATTGTATATTAAAAATAATTAAAATCCTGCAATGAATTTTATTATTTATGAAAATAATTGAATGGTTGCAAAGAATTTTATTATTTACGAAAATAATTGAATTCCTCAGAAAAATTTTATTATTTATGCAAATAATTGAATTATTGCGAAAAATTTTTAAATAATTTAAAACGAATTGAATTTCAGTGATGAATTTTGTTATTTTTCAAAATAATTGAATTCCTGGTAAGAATTTTATAAACATTGTTTTAAATAATTAATTTTTTCGAAATACATTAAATATTATGAAAATTTTATTTTGAATAATTGAAGACTTGTAAAAAACTTCATTTTTGAAAATAATTGAATTTTTCGATTTATTAATTTAAAATAGTGTTAAAATTAAAAATAATTGAAATGCTTCGATGTCTCTTATTATTTATAAAAATAATTGAATTCTTGTTTAGTAAATTAACAAAAATGTTTCTTTCAAAATTGAATTTCCATGAAAAATGTTATTATTAGTGAAAGCAATTGAATTATTGTAAAGAATTGTATAAAAATTTTGTTAAATAATTTGAGTTTTTCGAAATCTTTTTGTAAATGTTATTCTGAAATTAATTGAATTCCTGTGGAAATTTTATTATTTATGAAAATAATTGAAATTTGAATGTATTTTATTTTTTTAATAATTGAATTCTTTTGGAAAATTTTATGAAAATAATAGATATTGAAAATCATTGAGTTGAGGGGCATTTTTAAAAATAATTGAAATTTTGCCAAGAATTTTATTAAAATTTTTGAAAATAATTGAATTTTGAAGAAGAATTTAATTATTATTTATTTCTAAAGATAATTGAATTTTTGAAGAGAATTTAAAAAAAATTTTGAACATAATTGAATTTCTGCGCGAAGAAATTTATTACTTTTGAAAATAATTGAATTTCTCCAATCATTTGTAACTTCTCTAAAATTGCCCAAATTATATAGTACAATTTACGAACTTTTCGTCTTTTCTAATTCAAATTACGGACTTGGTACTTTAGGGACCTTTTTTTCAAAAAAACGGACTTTTACGGACTGGAAGCAAATTTACGGACCTTTACGGAATTTACTTTAAATTTTTAAAACAAAATTAGATTAAAATTAGAATCGGAAAAAAAAGTTTCTAAAAATTAAAATTCCTTTAAACTAAGAAAACTGTCTAGGCCCCTAATAAAATTCTATTTTAAATACCATCAAATTTTGGCGTTTTTTTTATTTTAATACTAATGTGAAAGAAAATTTACTAAATTTCCTACAGTTTAGTTTGTTGAAAATGAAAAATAATGAAAATTAGTTAAATTATCCAGGTCCTTACTAGTTTCTTATTTGAAAGTATAGTAAATAAAAAAATAAGAAGAATTTAGATTAAAATCTACTTTTTTTCTCTAAAATAAGTAGAAATTTCTGGTAAAGCATTTCTGGTAATTTTTACTACTTTTGGAGTAAATTTTGCTACGTTCGAAGTAAATTTTACTAATTTTTACAAATATTTACTTTTCGAACGTAGCAAAATCTACTTCAAAAGTAGTAAAAATTACCAGCAATGCTTTACCGGAAATTTTTTACTATAAAAAGTAGTAAAAGTTACTTTATATTTTTCTCTGAGTACATACAACAAAATTTTTTCTCCTACAATTATATTTAATTAAAAATAAAAAAATTAATTAAGATATTTCTGAAACTGCAAAAATATGTTTCATTCTTCTTAATACAAAAAAAAATTCTTTCTCCTTACAATTATAATTAATTATAAAAAAAAAACTTCTAAATCACTACAAAAAATACACTTCGAAAAGAAAAAAAAAATCGGAAATATCATTTTCCTCGCGGTATGAATAAGAAAAAAGGAATCTCTCTTACATATATTATCTTGGAGTATCTTTCAGGCATATATAGCAAAATCATCCTGGGGGATCAGAAGAATAAAGTGTGTGTACTTTATACTCATATATATGCATATGTCCGAATGCGTAAGGTGCGTGAATACATATATAAATTTTTCTTGAACGCGTTGAGCGCGACGTATGGACTGGGAATAAATTATCCAGGGTGTCTCTATGGACTCTATGGGTCTATAATGATTTCTTGGCATGGTGGGATGATACAGGAAGTGAACTCACAACAGCGGAACCAGGCGTTCACTCAATGGAAAGTCTTTCAGTATGTCCAAGAGGCTCGCCAAGTGGGCAGTCTCTTCTCTGAAAAACATTCACTACAAAAACTATTCAATAACTTGTCTCTCATTCAAATAATATATAAACACACAGACATTTTGATTTTAACCCTCAATATCTCTAATCACACGCCAATTACACTATACATATCAATAGAAGGCAATTACCCGCCTCTTAGAAATGTCAACAATAATAAACTTCTCAATTCATTGACATTATCATTAATCACACAATTAGTCGGTCAATAATTAATTCGAAACACAATAATTACGGGGATTTTTGTAATAAACGGAAATTAGTCTCTTATTGCTAAATTGTAAATAAATATTATGAATCTAAATAAATAAATAAATAAATATAAACACAGAAATTAAAAATAAACACAAAAATAATAAATAAACACAAAAATAATTTAAAAAAACACAAGAATAATAAGTAAAAAAAATAAATAATAAATACAAAAATAATAAATAAACACAAATAATAAAAAAACACAAAAATAATAAGTAAAAAAAATAAATAATAAATACGGAAATAGTAAATAAATAAAAGATTGACAAATAAAAAAAAGTGAATAAAAAAAGTAAACAAGTACAGAAGTTATAAATAAATAAAAAAGCGAAACACAAAAAACAATAAGCGAACATAAAAGTAAAAAATACAGAAATAGTAAATGAATGAAAAAATACTAAATACAAAAATGACAAGTGAATAGAAAAATAAAAAAATACAGAAATAATAAATAAATAAAACAATACTAAATACAAAAATGACAAGTGAATAGAAAAATAAAAAAACACAGAAATAATAAGTGAACAGAAAAGTAAAAAATACAGAAATAGTAAATTAAAAAAATAGTACTAAACATAAAAATGACAAGTGAATAGAAAAATTAAAAACTCAGAAATAATAAATAAATATTCAATGCAAATTAATTAAAAATTTGAATAAGATAAAAACATTTTTTTTTGAACACGTGGAAAAAATTCGAAAAACAATCGAAGATTGCTTTAGGAAATAAATCAAAAAATTAAATTAGAAAGTGATTTAATTATAAATTCAGTGATGAAATCAGTGAAAGTTGGGGTTTTGATGAAAATGTGATAAATAGGAGAAAAAAAAATATATTTTTTTCTTTGACGTAATGAAAAATACCAGTGCGTGGAAAATGGGGAAAAAAGAAACAGTGATTTGAAATGTGATGAACAAAGTGGGTGAGAAGTGAAGCGATGTATAGGTATATATGACTCAGAGAAAAATGTAGAATCATGTTCTCTACCTTCACACACGTGTATACAATATAAGAATCTTGAGACTTTTATAATACAAATACCGTATATAAAAACCTATAAAAGAATTTTTATATTTCCGGTATTATATATGAGATTTTTACCTTTTTTCCAGTTTTTTTTTGTTTTGGACAATATGAAACTAAAGAGAAATTAAATATTCTTGTTGCGATAAATTGAATTTAGAAGAAATTAAATTAAACTAGGAAAAAAATGAGAAAAGTAGTGAACTGAAAAAGAAGGAGAAAAAAATAGTGAAGTATAAAGGAACATTAAAAATTGTGAACAAAAAATAGTCTCTTAAGAATAAGAGAGAAAATTCATCACTGAAAGTTATATCTTCATTAAAAAAAGAAAAAAAAAATAATAGAAAAATCTCTTCAGAAAATGGTCAGCCAACACGCAATGGCTACTACTGTTCGCAAAGTCAAACAGGAAAACAGATTGAGGAAACTTAATCAGAATCAAGGTAAAAATTGAGAATTTTCTTTTTTTATTTCATTGACGATTTTTTAATTGACTAATTACAAATTAATTGTTTGTTTCAATGGAAAAATATAATAATCATTAATTAATATTAACTCTAATTTTAGAAAAATGTTATTTAGAATGTTTTTAGATTTTTTCTAAAAATGTTTTTCTGTTAAATGTTTCAATAAACAAAAGTTTCAATAAATAAAAGTTTTAGTAAATAAAGGAATCAATATAAACGAAATATTTAATAAATTATTTATACAGTCAGTAAACATTAGTTGCCATAATTTAATTTCGATAAACAGAAGCTTCAATGAACAAAAGCTCGATTAAATATTAACTTTAATGAACATAAATGTTTCCAATAAATACCAGCTGGCATTAATTATCCCTCATCCCAAACTATAATAATGATATACAATTAATTTAAATAATATAATCCATTTTAAGTAGCTTTAGTAAATACTAGCTCAAGTCATGTCAAAGACATGTGTGCATCAATAAAATCTCAAATTTCTTGTCAAACGATACCATCAATCTACGAAACTGGAGCCAAAAGTATCGACACAGGATATAGTATTTTTTTTCTCTCATGCTCGACCGTTCACCTAGTCAAAAATCGAACACTAAATTGTAGTTTACTTTCTCAAAAACAATACATAAAATTTGTGGATAAAATCTTTAATACAATTTTTTGAATAAAAATCTCAAATACTATGAAATTGGTGGAGAAAATCTTTAAAACAATTTTTAAAGAAAAATTTCTACTATAAAATTGGTGGCTAGAATTTACGAAATAATTTTTAAAAAATCTCCAATAATATCATAAATAACAATATTCATTGCAAGAATTCAATTATTTTCAAAAGTAATAAAATTCTTCGAACAAATTCAATTATTTTTAAAAATTTGAACGAATATCTCGTCAAGAATTCAATTTTCTTTATAAATAGCAAAATTTTTCGCTAAGAATTCAATTATTTTCAAAAATTTAAATAAAATTCTTTGCAAAATTTCAATTATTTTCAAAAGTTCTTCGCAATTCAGTGATTTTCAATATTTACTATTTTCATAAAATTTATCAAATAATTTAATTATTGAACAAAATTTTTGACATACAATTCTACGTAAACATTCAATTATTTTCATAAATGATAAAATTTCATTTAGGAATTCAAAATCAATTCAAATTTAAGAAACATTCCATTATTCAATGATATAATAAAATTCGTTGCAATGATTTCATTATTTTTATAAATAATAAAAATCTTCTAAAGAATTAAAATATTGTCAAAAATCTTAATAATATTTTTCTCAAAAATTCAATTCTTCTCATAAATAATCAAATTCTTCGCAGTAATTTAATTATTTTCAATACAATTTTAATAAAATTTTCCAATGAATTCAATTATTTTCATAAATTTTTAATAAATTTTAAAATAATTCAATTTTTGCAAAGAATTATATATATTTTTTTAAAATAATTAAATTCTTTCGAAAATGTTATTAAAATCATATTAAAAATAATTAAATTCCTTTAAAGAATTTGATTATTTATAAGAATAATTGAATTTTTGATCAATTTTAAATAATTTCCTCGAAAAATGCAATTATGTATTCTTAAAAATGTTATTAAAACTTGACGAAAGAATTTAAATTTAAGAAACATTCCACTATTTAATAAAATAATAAAATTTGTTGCAACAATTCGATTATTTTCATAAATAAATTTTCATTCGTCACAGGAAATTAATTATTTTCAAAAATTTTGAAGTAAATTTTGGAAAAGAATTCAATTATCTTGATAAACAACAAAGTTTTCCACATAAAATCAATTATTTTTAAAGAATTTTAATAAAATTCTTTTACAAAATTCAATTATTTTCATAAATATAAAAAATCACAAGAATTCAATTCTTTTGAAAAGTAATAAAATACTTTGCAGACATTAAATTATTTAAAAAATTTTTTTTAAATTCTCGTCAATAGTTAAATTTTAATAAACATTCTATTATTGAATAAATTATTTATTTTTGTATTTAAATAATTGAATTCTCGTAGAATTTTCCAATAAAAATTGAGTTAAAAATGAATTTCGGTTAAAATTTTAGATAATAATTTAATATTAAAAGCATTATAGCATTGACTTGTAGAAATAATTGAATTTTGAAAAGGTTTCATATTCAAATCTTTGGAAATCTAAATTTTTCGTTTTTTTTAAATAATAATTGATTTAAAGAAGAATTTTAGTTAAAAATTGTAGAAAATAATAATTGAATTTAAATGATAAAAATAATTTCGAAGAATTCAAATTTAAGAAAATTTCAATTATTTAATAAAATAATAAAATTAGTTACAATAATTCAATTATTTTCATAAATAACATTTTCATTCGTCACAGGAAATTAATTATTTCCAAAAATTTTTAACTAATTCTGCAGAAGAATTCAATTATCTTGATGAACAACAAAGTTTTCCACATAAAATCAATTATTTTAAGAAATTTTAATAAAAATCTATTCCAAAATTCAATTATTTCGATAAATATCAAAATTAATCATAAGAATTCAATTCTTTTAAAAACTAATAAAATACTTTCTGAAAATTAAATTATTTTCAAAATTTTTAAAAAATTTCCGTTAAGAATTGAATTACCTTTTTATAAATAGTCAGCGAAAATCTTCTCAAGAATTAAATTGTTGTCAAAAATTTTATTAATATTCTCGGCAAAATTTTTTGAATGAATTAGAATATTTTTTTCTGGTCAGAGAAAAAGTTAAAATTTTGTCTGGAAATCAGGGAAAAACAAAATTAAATTTTTGTGGCAACCCTGAATTAGTAATTATTAACAGCATGTGATTGTTACAGAATTCAATGTTAATTTTTTCGACCACTTTTCTCTTAAAATATTAAATAAATTAAGCTATTTTTTTGTGAATAACTCTAAAATATCATAAAGAAGGGCAGTGATGTGAAAAAGTTTTAATATTTTAAAAATTATTTATTAAAAAATAACTTTAAAATTATCACTTCTCAAAATCACTTTTAATCAATTTCTCGTCTTTTCCGATTTCAAAGTATTTTTTTATAATTTATTTTAGAATAATTAAAACTTTTGCACATCACTGCTCTTCTTTATTATATTTTAGAGTTATTCACAAAAAACTAGCTTAATTTATTTAATATTTTAAGAGAAAAGTGGTCGAAAAAATTAACATTGATTTCTGTAACAGTCACATGCTGTTAATTAATCAAATTTTAGTAATTTCTACTAATTTATTAGTAAAATTTACAAATTCAAAAACAAAAAGTAAGTCACTAATTCAAATAATTAAATTCAATTTAGTAAACAAATTTAGAGAGTATAGAAAGAATATAGTAAAATTTGTCATTGTTCCACATGAAGTTTTTTTGCCCGTTAAAAAAATCCCAAATAAAAAAAATTCTTGAAGAAAAAAACAGAGAGAAAAATTTTATTTTGTACAAAAAGAAAACGAAAACATAAAATTTGATTTTTTTCTCTTCTTTGAAAGTTTATCCATCAATTATATTTACAGGCAAGAGTGCATATGTATATATAGTGTAATAAATAATAAAAGAGAAAATAAAACTGTCACGGGAAGGAATCACGTTAACAAGATTGACCTTGTCTCTCTTCAATGTTAAGAAAGTTGCATGGATCTGAATTGTCACATTGACTGCCCAGCAGCTCTCTATACAATCTGCACAGAGACACACACACACACACACATAAACAAATAAATTGTGTATATGTACAAGATGCGTTACAAATTTGTAATAGAAAATCAGGTTTATGTACGCGACTTTCGCAACTTGTGATATGCAGCTGTGGTGAAAATTTTATAATTCATCATTCTTTTTACTATACATTATGCACTAGCTGTCGTACTCGACTTTGATGATTTTTTCCTACTTAGAGAAAAATTTAAAATTTTGTCTTTTAAAAATTCTGCTAAATTTTAGGAATTTTATTTATTACTTTACGTTTCTTAGTTGAAATTAAATTTATTATTATTAAAATAATTAAATCCAAATTATGGTTTATTAAAATTATTTATCAACATTATTTAAAATATTAAATATAAATTATAAAATCATAAAAATATTTTTCTTCTTCGTTCAAAATAATATGTCAAATTACGAAAAAAAAATCTAATTTCATTAATGTGAATTCGTCATTAAATATGTCAATTATTATTCATGTTTGAAATGCAGGAAAAAATTTCTTTAACTGCGCGGATAAAATAGGAAAATTAGAGACAAAATGGGAAAAAAATCTTTTGACAGCATCAATTTCAACAATAGGTCCAATCACAAAATGTCAACGAAGCACCACCACTACGAACCGTACACAAATTCAATTAAAGTTCGGGATGAAAATTTCATTTGCATATTGCCTCTCAATGTTTTACATCTTTTATTGAGCAACGAACTTCAATTAAAGTTGGCACAACTTTTATGCACGTCGCAAAATCTATGTATAAATTTTCCTTAAAATACGAAACATATTCGGCTGATCTTTATGCAAAACTGTTTTTTTTTCTGTAAAAAAAATTTTTTTTACCAAATTATTTTTATAATACAATAAAATCAAGTATTTAATTAATTTAACTCTAATTAATGAATTAATTGATTTTAATTCTTTGAATTCTTTGAATTCTCAAATTTTTAGATGACAGTTTATCTTATTTCTTGAACCCTAAATGAATCCTATAATTGAAAAACAGAACCGCAGTATATACAAATATTAGCTTCGAAGTGATAAAAATATGAATAAAAATGAGAAGGCGTGTTTGAAGAATCAAGATAGGAAATTTTTTCATTACGATTATGAAAATAAGATTCTGAATTATGAGCTTTAATTTATGTGGAAATTAAAATTTTTTTTCTTCTTTTTCATTTGATTTCAGATGAGGAGGAATATTATAAGCCGGTGCCACCACCGAAACCGGTGTCGAATAATCAGAAGAATCAAAATTTTCAACAGTCACAACAGACGATAGTGGAAGCGTCGTACCCTAAGGTGACTTCCGGTCAATCGGGGGAGGATACGCTCGCTCGTAATTCCGTACAAACTCCTGCACCGGAATACAGGATGCCACCTTTATATGGCGACGAGCAGAGTTCAAATCAGGCTCAACAAGCAGCCAATCTCCAAACTCACAGTAGCAAATTTCCGGTAAGCTTCTTTTCTATTTTTTATTTTATTTTTTTTTTTTACATTCTTTTTAAAAATAAATATTCTTCTCTAATTTTCAATTCATTCGGGGAAAAAAGATTTTTCGAAAAAAAAGAGAGAGAAAAATTGACAGGAATCTGTATATTTGATTTGGAGATGGAAAAAGTGTAACAACGCTATTGAAAAAAATGCAAAAAACAAAATCTCTTTATCTCTCGACTTGATTAAATTGATCTCTATTACCTATAGTTTAGTATTAAACTAAATTGATAAATATTAAAATATAAAATAGAACTATAGTATTTATTTTATCGAAAAATAAATTTATCGAAAAGTTAGAATGGTTTTCGAATAGTTTCTGAATAGTTTTTTTAACATTTTTTCTTGTTTAAAGCAATTTTAATTTTTAATTCAAGAAATTTTAGCTTTTCAATACAAAATAAAAAATTAAAAAATTTTTTTTTTATTTGAACAGAATTTTTTTATATTATAATTTCTTTATTTTAATACTCAATTTAATTAAAAAACTGAAACGGCATAAATTTAAAATCAATATAACATTTTTTTGGGGTCCTTAGTGAAATCCTATTTCCAATGAAAAAAAAGTAAAGGTCAATTACTATTTTCTAGTACAGAACTAGATTAAAATTAACTAAATTGATTGTATATTATATTATTACAAGCAAAATTTTTTATTTTTAAATATTAATTTTTTAAATAATTTCATAATCAAAATTTAAAAAAATCACTTATTGAGTACAAAATTAATTATTACTGTTCGTATTTTCAAAAATTTTAATATCAAATTTCACGAAAGAAATCCATTATTTTCTAAAATTTTAATAAATCCTTTTAAACAATTCAATTATTTTTTTGTAATAGTAAAATATTTACAAAATTCAATGATTTTGAAAAGAATTTTAATTAAATTCCTCGGAAAAATTCAATTTTTTAAAAAAATTTTAGCACATTTCGAAAAAATTCAATTGTTTTCTAAAATTTTAATAAATCCTTTGAAAAAATTCAATTATTTTTATAAACAGTAAAATTCTTCACAAGAATTCAATTAATTTTATATAAATAGTAAAATTCTTGGCAGGAATTCAATTATTTTCAAAACAATTTTAATTGAATTTCTCGGACGAATTCAAATATTTTTAAATATTTCCATAAAATTTCAATTATTTCCTAAAATTTTAATAAATTATTCGAAACAACTCAACTATTTTTATAAATACAAAAATTCTTTGTAGGAATTAAATTATTTTAAATCAAATTTAAATAAAATTACACGAAAGAATTTAATTATTTTCAAATATTTCCATAAAATTCAATTTCAACAAGAATTAAAAATTTTCTAAGAATAATTCAATTATTCTCAAAATAGTTTTACAAAAAATCTATATAAAAATTGAATTACTTTCAATGCAATTTTTAAATATATTCGTCAAAAAAATTGAAAGACTTCAATTATTATTATCAAGAAATAATAAAATTCTTTAAAGAAATTCAATTATTTTCGAAAAAACTTTAATTGAATTTCTCAAAATAATTTCATTATTTTTTAATATTTCTATAAAATTTTTCACAACAATTTAATTATTTTTTAAAATTTTAATAAATTCTTCGAAAAATTTCAATTATTTTTATAAATAGTAAAATTTTTCGCAATAATTCAATTATTTTTGTAAATAATAAAATCCTTTGCAGAAATTCAATTCTTTTCAAAACAATTTTAATAGAATTCCTCGAATGAATTAAAATTTTCAAATATTAACGTAAAATTCTATTCTTTTTAAACATTTTAATAAAATTTTTCGCAATAATTCAATTATTTGCATAAATAATAAAATTCTTTTCAGAAATTAAATTATTTTTGAAAAATGCAAATGAATTTTTCTTCATAAAATTCAATTGCTTTCAAAATTTTCAATTAAAATTATTAAAGAAACTCCATGAGTTTAACAAAAAATTCAAAGAAATTCTTCAAAAGAATTTAATTAGGATTTTAAAAAAATTTTCGCGAAGATTCAGTTATTTTTCTAAATAATAATAATAATTATTATTTATAATAATTATTATTAATAATTATTATAACAAAAAATAATAATTTTTTGTTGAAATTCTTTGCAACCATTCTGTAATTTTCAATACATTAATTTTAAAATTAAAAATATTTGAAAAGAAAAATTGTAAAATAGTTAAAACACAAAGAAGCAAGCAACAACTAACTTCAAAATTGGGAACAGATTACCGGAACATGTACTTTATTATTATTAATTAATGTTTTAATTAGTTTTATTTTATAATTAATTCTAAATTATAATGACAAATAGAAATCATCAAAATTTCTTTCACTTCTTTTCATTAAAAGACTAAAATTTTGTTAAATATTATGTTTTGTCAAATTGAAATTATGCAGATTTTTGTTTTTTACTTCTAAACAAAATTAGAAAATTGTTAAACAACTGTGATTAAAAAATAGAAAAATTATTTATTTTGCATTATTTTTGTTTATGAATCACAATTTTCTTAACAAAATTATTATTTTGTTTTAAAAAAAGAAGAAAAATATTTGCACAATTCCTATTTTTAATCTTATTTTTGGATCGATTTCTTCATGTTTTCTAATAATTAAAGATGACCGAGAGATAAAATTATTATTTTATATTATAAAAATATTGTTATTGTAACTTCATCAAAATTATTTTCATCATTTTAATTTCATTATTATTTTCTAGAATTTTAAATTATTTTTTATAAAAAAATAACTGAATTCTTTAAAAAAATTTTATTATTGTAATTAAATGTTTGCATAAATTTTATTAAAAATTTTTTTTAAATTCTTGAATTCTTTTTGGGAAATTTTTTCAAAATAGTAGATATTGAAAATCATTAAAATAAGTAAAATTTTTGAAAATATTTGAAATTGGGACAAGAAATTTTTTTCAAATTTTGAACATAGTTGAATTTTATAAGAATAATTTTATTTTTTTTTTAAATAATTGAATTTCTGCAATTATTTGTAATTTCTCCAAAATTGATTTTTTTTATTGTTTTCAACAAAAATTTAAATTAGAAAATTTTTAAATTCTATTATTTGAAAAATTGCTAATTTTATTTTAAAAAAAAGCAGCAAGAATTTAGCCGCGCGAAGTGTTGCTATAGTGTTAATTATACCTAATAATAATATTAAAAATATTCGTATGTTTATAAACGTAATTAAATTAATATTAATATGTTTAAAATATGTTTCAAATATTTTTTTTAAATATAGTAAGAAAAAAGGGTAATATTGTTGAGAAATCAAATAGCGATATAAAAATACCAATAATTATTGAATTTAGATGCAATTTTCAATATGAGAACACAATTATCCGTTATTCATCCTAATTAGTATATCCATTCGAGCAAAATTCTCAATTCGTACAAAATTCGCCTTTTCGAACGAAAAACTGCACAAGAAAATTTAATAACTCTGAAAACTTTCTTTCCTGAACATGAAAGAGGATAATTAGAAACACAACGTGTGAAATAAATCATTACGCGAACTCGATATGAATAAATATTTTCTCTACACACAACGTAATTTGCCACCCCCTCCCATTGAGGGGGAGACTTAGTATAAATTTTACAATAAGGTGCTGAATAAAAATCTGGAACGTGAGAGTCAATAAGATTTAAAGCTGATTTTCTTTTGTTGCTTTTTAATCTCTCTCTATAAGTTTAATGATAAAAGAACAAATTATCACCAAGTGTAGATGTAAGTAGATGTAAGTATAGATGTAAGTCAGTTGTAACAATAGACGTATTGCTTTTACTAATACACATGTCATTATTGGCTTTGTCTATATACCTATATTTATATATATAAATACATGTAGAGAGTCAGTTGTTGAACTGTTGGTTGTATAGTATATTAACGCGACGACGATTCCTAGAGGAAAAGTGATGTACCAAACACATTTCCGGTAAACGGTACACATAGAAACCCCATGAGAATATTCCCAGAGTGCATGTAACACGCGTACAATGAACTGTTACCAAAGATTTCACCAAAGTGCACTTCTCTGTTAGCGCAACTTTTTTTCATTTTTTTTTTTTTTTACACTTTCGAGAAATTGAAATAAAAAAAGTGAGAGCACTGTAGGGGAGAAAAGATGATTCATTCACGCGAGAAACCGAAAAATTAGGGAGAGAGAGAAAGAGTTATCAAGAAAAGAAAGAAAAAGCCGAAGAAAAGTTGAGAGAAAATTTTAATGAAAAGATTTTTCTCGCACTCTTATGACAATGAATGGACGCATTTTATTATTCAGGAAAAAAATTTTAAGTATCCATTGTAAGGAATATGTGACAAGAAATATTTTTTGCAATATTCTGGGAACAATTTTTTTGAAATACATTTTTTTAGAAATATTCCACTCGTATTTTTGGAATATTTTTCGGAAATATTTCATTCATATTTTACAAATATTTTTTAGAAGTATTACATTTATATTTTAAAAATGTTCTCTAGAAATATTGCACTCGTATTTTAGGATTATTTTCGATTAATATTCCATTAATATTTTTGGAATATTTGAAAAAAATTATAAAAGTATTCCATTAGAATATCGGAAGAATACTCCACCAAAAAAAAAGTAAAAATATTCCCAAATAAGTTGGATTACAATAAAAATATTCCACTTTTAATAGACTAGAAATATTCCAAGAATATTCCAGGAATTGAATTAATAATTATAAATAAAAAATCGTAAAAAATAAAATTAACCGAAAAATAAAATAGTTTTGTAAAATATTTATTTCTCTAGAGAGTAGAAAAAGTCTCAATATAAAAAAAGACAAAAAGGCAATTTATTTAATTAACATTATTTTTATTTTGTGCTCACAGATTGAACGTGAAGTTGTTCTTTCATCAGGAGACAAGAACTCGAAAATCCCAATTCTTCACGAGTACAAGCAAAGAAGTGCCGGAAGGGCGGCAATCGCACCGGATGCACCAATCAGCCAACAGGCTTGGGTTCAGGAGGTGAGACGAAATTGCATGGTGTGCCTGGCACTTTCTGGTCCCCCCCCACCTCTTTTTTTCAAATTTTTTTTTTAACTTTTTTTTTTTGAGAGAACCCTCTTTAGAAAACGACTGTGAGAACTTGTCCTATGCTTAAAGGTAATCAGGTTCTTTTTTCTTATACTTTATCGTCCCTTTTCACATTAACCAACAAGGTCAATTAAAGTTCATTAGAAAAAATCGGTTTACAAATTTTTATTTAATGAATAAAATTAGATACATTCATTGTTTCTTATTTATTTATTGAAAATTGATCCGTCAGTTAATAAACATTTTTTCATATAGTTAATTGACTAGGAAAAAATTTTAAATAAAAATAAATTATTATTTTTTATAAAAATAATGTTACTCCTCACTTCTTCGAAATTTTTTTCATTATTTAAATTCAATTATTTTTTACAATTTTTAACTACAATTCTTCTTTAAATCAATTACTATTTAAAAGAACGAAAAATTTACATTTTCAAAGATTTGAATTTGAAACCTTTTCAAAATTCAATTATTTCTACAAATCCATGCTATAATACATTTAATATTCAAATATTATCTAAAATTTTAAGCGAAATTAATTTTTAAATCAATTTTTTAAGAAAGTTCTGCAAGAATTCAATTATTTAAATACAAAAATAAATAATTTATTCAATAATAGAATGTTTATTAAAATCTAATTATTGACGAGAATTTAAAAAAAAAATTTCTAAATAATTTAATTTCTGCAAGTATTTTATTACTTTTCAAAAAAATTTGAATTCCTGTGATTTTTGATATTTATGAAAATAATTGAATTTTGGAAAAGAATTTTATTAAAATTCCTTAAAATAATTGATTTTATGAGGAAAATTTCGTTGTTTAACAAGATAATTGAATTCTTTTGCAGGATTTACTTAAAAATTTTTTAAAATAATTGATTTTTTGATTTGAATTAAAAGTTATTTATGAAAATAATTGAATCATCGTAACGAATTTTATTATTTTATTGAATAATTTTATTGAATTTTTCTTAAATTTGAATTCTTTCGTCAAGTTTTAATAAAATTTTTAAGAATACTTGCATTTTTCGAAGAATTTATTAAAAATTGTATTAAAAGTATTTAAAATCCTGCGATGAAAATAATTGAATTCCTAAATGAAATTTTATTATTTATGAAAATAATTGAATATTATCGTAGAATTTTATCAAAAATTTTTGTCAATAATTAAATTCTTTAATAAATTTTATGAAAATAGTAAATATTCAAAATCATTGAAATACAAAAAACGTTTTTGAAAATAATTGAAATTTTGCAAAAAATTTTATTTAAATTTTTGAAAATAATTGAATTTTTGGCGAAAAATTTTGCTATTTATAAAGATAATTGAATTCTTGACGAGATATTCGTTAAAATTTGTAAAAATAATTGAATTTTTTTCTAAGAATTGTATTACTTTTGAAAATAATTAAATTCTTGTGATGAATATTGTTATTTATAAAAATAATTGAACTTTGCAAAGAATTTTTTTTAAATTTGTAAAAATAATTGATAATCTTTTTAAATAAATTTTTATTTAGGTAAATTTAAATTTTTTATACAAAAATTCTAAATTTGATTTTTCTTAAATCCTTTGCAAGCAAAGAAATTTATAAAAAATTAGTAAAGAATTGAATTTCTGTGAAATGTTTATTATTTATGACATTTTATGAAAATAATAATTAAACGTTTGGGTAGAATTTTATTACTTTTGAAAATTGTTGAATTTCTCCAATCATTTGAAACTTCTCCAAAATTAAATTTTTTTTTTTGTGTTTTTAACTAAAATTCTTCTATAAATCCATTATTTTTAATAACTAGTTAAATATATATTAAAAAATTTAACAAAATTTAAATAGGAATTAAAATTAAAATTCTTCAAAAAAATTAATTCTATAAAATTAACAATTAAAATTATGAAAAATTCATATTTTCAAAGATTTTAATTTGAAACCTCTACAAAATTCTATTATTTCTAAAAATCCACGTTACAATGCTTTTAATATTTAATTATTATTATCTAAAAATTTATTTATTTATTTATTTAAATGTATAAACGGTATTTATAATTTAAATTGTATAAACTAATTTTTATTAGAAAATTCTACGAGAATTCAACTATTTAAATACAAAAATAAATAATTTATTGAATAATTGAATCTTTCTCAAAATTGAATTCTAATAAAGAATTTTATTAAAAAAATTTTATTAACAATTTCATTCTTCTGACGATTTTTAATAAAATTTTTAAGAATAATTACATTTTTCGACGAACTCGATTAAAATTGTATGAAAAATAATTAAATCCTTGTAAAAAAAATTTGAATATTTATAATAATTTAATTATTGCGAAGAAATTTATAAAAAATTTGTAAGTAATTGAATTTCTGTGAAATATTTATTATTTATGAGAATAATTAAATTTTTGCGTAAAATTTTATTAAAATTTTTTTTTAAATAATTGAATTATTTTGCAAAACTTTATTAAAATAGTAGATATTTAAAATCATTGAATTGAGGAAATTTTTAAAAAAATAATTGAAATTTTGCCAAGAATTTTATTAAAATTTTTGAAAATAAAATTGAATTTCTAAAAAGAATTTTATTATTTATACCTAAAGATAATTAATATTTTTTAACATAATTGAATTTCTGCAATCATTTTTAACTTCTCCAAAATTCCATTTTTTTAGTGTTTACTAAAATTCTTCTATAAATCCATTATTTTTAATAACTGTGGCAACCCTGTAGTAATAAAAAAAAATAATTTTTCTTTGCATTATATTTTTCATCTTTCAAAATTAAACCTATATATTAAAAAAAATATTTTTAAAAATCTTTAGGAAAAAACAAATTGCTCTCATTGTAAAAAAGAAGAAGAAGAAACAAAAATGAAACGGTCTTTTATGAAAGTTTTCGTCTACTTTAACATAAAAATTACAACCCTTCTTTACTGATTTGTCCAATTAACTCTATTATTCCTGCGGCTTATGTGTATAAACGGAAATGTAAAATGCTCGAGAGTAAAAAGTAAATAAAAGCTACTTCCTCCTTCAAGTACATAAGTACCTCACAGATAAAAGAAAAGAAAAATACTTTTCAGGTCAATTCTCATTTCTCTGAAATATGAAAATTATCTTATTATTAACCCAATTTGCCGCCTGATCTACCATTATAATATCTTTTCATAATTAATTTCTTTTTTCCGTAATTTATTCTTTCATAAAGAATAATTGCAATCAAGAAAATATTGCCAGTACAGTAATTCTTAATTTTCTTGATTTAATGAATAGTCTTTTTTTAATAAATATAGAGGGAGAGAGAGAGAGAGATAAAGTGCAAATGTGAGGTAATTTTATTATTATGTGTCACACATGAAACGCCAACACGCAATATCGATAGTGTATAGCATAATATTACTCACGATGGTGGACTACTCATTTAATTAAGTTAATCACCGAATCGTGAGATTCTACAGTTACGATAGTGAATAGTGAAACTCCCCAGAGTCTCGATTAATTTAAATGATATTGTTTCGAATTGCCATCTTTATGGAGAATTAACTTTATACATTTGATATTGATGACTACCTATAGTGGAGCTATTTGAAAAAGAAAAGGAGTTTTATATATTTTCTATATTATATAGTTATATACAAATCGACAAGTTCTTCTTGATGATCCAGATTCACTCTTGCGTGGAAAATGGCCAACTTTCGTTATATTCTTTTTAATATTTCCACATCATTTTCAGAAATATTTATGTCTTTCCGCTCCATTAGCTGTATAGAAAATTTGTCCACAAGATTGATAAAGAGAATTTTCATTATTATGATGATTGAACATTTAACACTATAATATGTACGTGCGGTGAAAGCTACGGAAATTTTTTATTTTTTAACCAAAAGCAAATTAATAATCAAATGAAATAACTTTTCAATCTTTATTGAAAATATTTCTTGAATTCTTTTGCTAAAATATATTCCGGATATTTTTTTATTATAAAATTTTATTTTTATTATTATAATAAAGTTAATTATTATTATGTCAGTGATATAAACAGGGTTGTCACAGGTTAGGGAATTCAGGGAAAAGTCAGGGATTTTTATTAAAAGTACTGGAAAAAATTAAGTTTTTAAAATTTATAAAAAAAATTCTGAATTTTTGAGTCTTTTTTGTTTTTAAAAATTTTTCTCATTTCAATTATTCTTAATATCTACTATTTTAATATAATTATCCAAAAGAATTCAATTTTAAACAAAATTTTAATAAAATTTTCACAGGAATTTCATTACTTAACAAATTTTTAATAAATTTCTTCGAACCAATTCAATTATTAAAAAAATTGGAATAAATTTCTTTGCAATAAATCAATTATTTTCATAAATAATACAATTTTTCTTGAGAATTCAATTATTTAAAAAAATTTTTAATAAAATGCTTTATATAAATTTGAAAAATTATAATAAAATTGATCATAGAATACAACAGGCCTGGAATACAATTATTTTCGTAAAATATAACATTCTTCCTAGGAATACAATTATTGGCAAAAATGTTTGTCAATTTTAATAAAATTCTTCCCAAGAATTCAATTCTTTAAAAAAAAATTTAATAAAATTTGCTGCAAGAATTCAATTATTTTCTCATCTTAAAATTATTATGAAATTTCATTGTAATTTACTGAGAAATTTTTATTATTCATGAAAAGAATTGAATTTTTACGAAGATTTTTACAAAAAAATTTGTAAATAATTGAATTCTGTTTTGAAAATTTATGAAAATAGTAAATACTGAAAATCATTGAATTGGGATAAGTTTTTAAAAATAATAAAATTTTACAAAGAATTCTATTAAAATTTTTGACAATAATTTAATGTCTGTGTGGTATTTTAATAAAAAACTTTTGAAAATAATTGAATTCGTAAAAAGCATTTTATTATTTATAAAAATA